GTCTCCTAGTGTCACCGCCCACACTTTAACCTTTGTCAACGACCTGAGATGGTATGATATCGTATCTCGTTGACCTACGATGAGGTCGTTGTAAATTGCAGGCAATCAAAATAAATCACCATAACAACTGGATGCGTTATTGGTTACTAAAGCACTTATGATAATGTGTGAGAGCACGACTTAAGCAATTCAAGATATTTTCGAGAGATAATGTAAAAAACACTYTTCGTATAACAAACATCTGCAGCCAGTTAAAAAATATGCATCCACTACGCGTAGTTCGACAAAAATTCAAGATGTTCTGTTCGGTTCGACCACAAAGATGAATGCGATTAGAAATAAGTATTTTCTTATCTATCTACGTGTGTCCGATAGACATCAAGCAAACTATTATGACGATTGGATATCGTAATACGATAAATGTTATGATTAATTGAATTAATGTATAACTATAATATAGAGTCAATAAACACATGGAAATTTAATAAACTATGTCGGTAAGGTTCTCTTCCACACGCATAAAATACAGTTTTAAGTTGATATCAACACAATTTTTTGATTCAATAATTTCATCTATTGAACGTATTTTGATAAATGTATTTTTAAATCAACTAATATAGTTTTATATTCACTCTGCTCAGTTTTTTTTAGTCCGGTGATAATGTGAGTACCTATCGTTTATATCGTATAAATATATGAATATCCTTGCCTGATGATTCAAAGTGTTCATATTGCACTTGATCCACTTATYTCGCACAAAACTCACAAACATTAACATATATTATTTAAGTTTACAGTTGCATGTTGTAGTATGATTAGTATTACAACAAAGTTATTACACTACTCAACCGGTTAAACAACAATAATAAACGTAAACTAATGCAATTAGACCTTTTTACTATGGTGGTCACACTTTGTTTTTAATGGTTTTAAACACACTAAATCRACGAACCCACACGATCATAGTGTTATTGCGTCGATAAATATATTATTATTATTATTGTGTCGATATTTCCGCAGCCACTGTTCGTCGCTGCCGTCATGCCTCGTCTGTACGCCGATCGAGGAGTGTCCGGTCACCCAGCGTTGAAACTCGTCGATGCGCAGGACCCGTATTGCCGGTGGACGGTCGTCTACTGGCGTAAGGCGATGCGAGAGGAAGCCAAAGGACTTCCGGTTCCGGTGAGAAAAACCAACATACACTTAAAAAATATAAATAATCACGACCTTTTCGACCCTCGCGTATCGCTTTCTTTTACCCTCGCCAAGGCCGCGCGCAAATAGTGTTGTATGAAAATAACCCAATAATAATCTAAATGAGGTAATAATATGCATTTATTAAAACATTTATCTATATATGTTATTATGACACAAAAGAAATAACCAAATAATTTATCTGGACAATACAAAATATAATATAATATAATAGTATAGGTAAGTTTAAATTTTAAACACTTGAAAATTCCAACGTAAATATAAATATATTCATTAGTATTTACAGAAAATAAGCGAAATACTGCAAAATAACTACAGTGATACATAAAATAATTAGATAACTTAGATAACACACGAATAATAAATATAAATAAAATAACCATAATAATATGAAAATAAAATCTAATAAATAGGCTGTAGGCAATAGCTTATTAAGATAAACACCTCTTTCCATGTGGGAAAGTTAATGATGACAAATTRACTTGAGTGAAGTCAATGTCAACACTGTTATGTTAAAAATTAATAATTATCAAACAAAATATTTAATTTAGTTAAGGATAATAATGAAAAAAACACTAACTTAATTCAGGTAAAAAAGCTTATCCGCTTTTTCATATTATATAATTTGTCATAACTGTAAACCTATACACTTATGTGGATTTTTTTTTCAAATTAATAACTAAACGCTTTGATTAAAAAAAAAAAAACTATTCTGTATTATTGTTTCTATAATTATGCACACTAGCTGTAATGGTCTATGCATTAAGTTTTCCTTGCAGTTTATTTTTTTAATATGTCTACTAATAGTTATCATACAAAATATGATAAAATTAACTGGAAAATTCTAATAGTGAGTTATTGTTTAAACGGAAATATTATCTACACCAAAATTATAGTCATCAATTTGATACGATAATGAACTACAACGAGTTAAAAAGTTATAAGCAAATTAATTTTTTAAGTAATATATAGTTCATCATGTAAATATTTGATAAATATTATTGTTATAGTTTATAATGGCTGTATCCAATCCTATTATAACTATAAGATATGAGATCGGAAATGAGGTCGTTAAAAATAGAAAAAAAGTGTACACAATACTCGTGTAATACATCAGCCTGTTTCACCGTTAACCACGGGGCTGCTCCTCCAAAGTCGGACGTTTTAAATCCAAAACTGCGACGGGTTGTACGCGTGTGTATGTGACCGGAACAGCACAGCGGAAAGGATGCGCGTGGGAATACATCATACACACACTCGCACACACATACATCACACAATAATATATTATATTATAATAATACCTAATGCGATTGTTTCCACCACCGTAATTACTATATATATATATATATATATATAGTACGTTTGTCCTTGAGAGATTTCGACGCGCGCTACCCACCGCACGCTGAGAGTAAAAACTCGTAAACGCGCGGACGAGTCGCAGTCGACGACAAGACCAGTTGTGTTCGTGTTTCTCGACTCRACGAGTGGGTACCTAACTATAATATGGTATTATGTACCATTCTACAGCAGCGTTTCGACGGCGCTATATTGTATTGTACGTCATGTTATTCATTTKAAGTTCGAGCTATTATTCATGACGCTGTGAAAATGTTTTTAATTTTATTATTTACCCGTGCAACCCGCGGTTGAACCGGAAACGAGCAAAAACAAACAAAAAATAGCCACCTCTACCGACCTGCAGGCTGGACTTATTATTTTAACCGTATGTAATCGTTGCAGATCGGAGTCAGAGTGGTCCTAAAACACAACGCCACAAATCTAAACGCTGCGGTGGAGACGGACTTCCGGATTGCGACGTTCTTCGGCGACGTAAGTATATAATATATACCTATACGTTATTTTGCATTAATATATTTTATCATATCCAAGTCCACGTAATATTATCGGGCCATGCCCTCGTCACATGATCTATATGTATGACATATTATACTTTATCATGGTGCATTTGAACCCCCCTCCCTCCCTCCCTCACGAATTTGCTCGGTGGGGCCCTGCAGCCGTATTCGTATAAATGGGTATATTAAATCAAATTAAATGAAAACATAAAGGAAAATATCGTTTGCRCCGATCGAACGCTAATTATTATAGTTTGGCTGTCAGTTATAATATATCTCAACCATAGGAAATATTATGTTTAATAGAATATTAATTGTTACTGCGAGCACATTATGCAAAGGTGGATAAGTTGATCAAAATAATTAATTAAAGTTAAGTTAAGATGACACATGATAGTTGAGTTAAAAGTTGTCAGTTAACAGATTATAAATTT